GGTGCAGGGGGAACAGGACAGGGGGGGAACAGGGAAACGAAAGAAGCAGTAAATGGATCATGACTGCAAACTTTGCACTTGTTACTTGCTGGTTATTATCAAGATGAAATAGAACCCGATAAAGTAATTTTAACCTGTAAAGTTTATTTTAATAATGGGAATGATGGAGGGATTTATGTCTGGTGCTCATGAATTCCTAAGAAGGTTGTTCCACATGTAGATACTGTAGATGCCTGTACAAGCATTCTGGATATTTGTAAAGTAACACGGTAAAAAAAATGAGTGAAGTGAATGGCCTGCTGTATCTGTTCTTTTTTGCTTCTTAGCAAGTGAATGACTGAGATACCTGGGACCTTACTGAAAAGCTGCTGTTCTTTCTTTGATTGTTGTGTACAGTAAGCGGACTCTTGTATTTTACTATTTACTGTAAAGAACTGTAATTTATATACTGCCATACTGTATTTAATTGGTACAGACCTATTGTGTGTTAGAATACAGACTGTTTACTTGGGATTTAAAAAAAAAAAACCAACAAAAAAACCAAAAAACCAACCAAAAATGTTTTGCTTGTATTTGGTACAGTTAGGTTTCATGGTCAAATAGTAAGCTGTTTCTAGCTGACGGTGCTCAGATGCAAAGTACTTTGTAAAAAAAAAAAAAAAATGCTGAAGGGCAGGCAGGTGGCATGGAGTGGAAGACTGGATGGTGTTAACCTGTTCTAACACTGACCAGTTCATGCAGCGCCGGGAGGAGAACAGCAGCCCCTGCGGATGCGCGTTCCTCATCTGCTGCCTTCCCTTTCCCTCGTCGCAGTGGGGGGGAGCAGAGCTGGGGAGCTGCTGCCAGAGAAACGGCCTCCTGGGCGTCAAGGGGAGAAGGGGGCAAGTTCCTGGAAGACAGACACAACCAGCTCCTTGCTAAATAGGTAAATGCCTCAGCCAGTTGGTGGCTGGGAGGGTAATGTGGGGGTGAAAGTGGGGGGTGCGAAGTTCAGTGTACTTGCCCTTGACGTAGCTTTTGGCTCTTTTGAGACAGGATTCTTACGTGCTAATTGCTTTTGGTGGAGTGAGTATCTTTGCAGAACATTTCATCCTTCCGGTGTCCACCTAGAGTTGCTCTCTTGCATTAATGATACTGCAGCTGAAGGAAATCGTTGTGATAGAAAAAAAGCTATGTGCAGAAGTGTTTTATTAGGCACAGACGATCCTAGAGCTCTGCCAGGTACCTACACCCAACACCATGGCCTTCAAGTTAATTTTAGACATCACTTTAATCTTTTTATAATGCTTTTTAGAAAATACACACTTGTGTGTGTGCACATTTGCATAAACATGTTTGTCCAAGGCCACTACAAACAATATTGAAAGCTAACGTGGCCATTTTCTTACATGTTTGCATGCCATATTACACCAGGTTCGCATGAGCTGAACTGGGCTCTTCATGGACACAGAATGCATGATTGCCTAAGAAACACCAGAATAATTTTGCTTCTTGGGGTGTACAATCAATACATCCAGAGAAACCTAAACAAGCCAACCTGGGTTTGTGCTCTACATATTTTGCATAACCTGTGCTGTCGTGACTTCTGTTATTATTGAAAGACCTGTACTTTTGCAAACCTCCTGTGTTCGTGTGCCCTGCCCTGGGTTAAATTTAAAGTTAGAAGGAGCTTGTCTGATGAGGTGATGCGGACATGCAAGCATTTTAGTTGATGTGCTCCTCACGCTCTGGTATATAAACACAGAAGCAGTTTTTCTATTAGTAATGATAGACTAGCAGTTTGCTGTCTTGAACTTTGTGACTGTGGAGTAATGTGATAGTCCACCTGCAAATTGCTGCTGCTTTGTTGTTTCAGGTTTTCTTTAAATATTACCTTAACCAGCATCTAAAATACACTGCCTCATAAGCAGGATGTACAATCCATACTAAAACCTCAGTTTAAAAAAAAAACCAAACCCACCCTGCTCATAATACTGGATAATGTAGGGCAGAGCCAAGCCCTCTCATTTGCCTGAGCCCCCAGAAGAAACCTGTTGCCTCGGTGGTTTCCCCAGTCCAGAGTTACCTGGTTTTGACCATCAGGGTCGTTACAGTGTTGAACGACATCACACCAGCCTTGATCTTGTTTTCTGAATTTATTATGTGTTGTTTTTTCAAGTGTGTGTGCCTTTGTGGAGATTTCAGGCAGAGCGCTCGGAGAACAGCTGTTACGGTCCAGCAAGCAAGGGCACGGTGTTTAATCGGCGCTGCTGGCCCTTGCCAATGTTCCCCCACAAAAGGCATCCTCCATGTTTGCCACTGGAGGGAGAATATGGCGTGCTGTTACGATGCAAGTAGGCAGAAGTGCCGCAATGAGGTGCAATGAAGGGAACGTGGGCTGCAAGCCCCTGGGGCCAGGCCCTGGGGGGTCTTCTCCCACTCTGCTTTGGCGTGCGCTTCACCCTATCTGGGTACGTGTGTTAGGGAGCTAATTTAGCTGCTAATTTACAGAATTCAAAGGGGGGGGGTGTGTGTGAAATCTCAGCTCGACTGAAAAGGACTGAAGCGATTTAAAGTTGTTGGGGAAAGGTGGAGAGGAAGAGGCCAGATGAAAGCAGTTGCTGTCTTGTTTCTGCAGAAGAAACAGCTAAAACCAGCATTCCTCGTAAAAACTGTCAGGATGGGGTTGGCTTTCGTGGGGGTTTTTTTAATGCTACGACTGTCCAAGTCCCTTTAGCATAGCAACGTAGAAGAATTCTGTCGGCGAACGTGCAGACCGCAAGCATCCGGCTTTTCAGACCTCCTTGTGCGCAATTTAGTCCAACGCCGCCTTCGTTCCGGTACTACGTGAGGCGTCGAAGTTGCAACGCTGAGAGGGAGCTGCCGTGCCCCAACGCCAGCTGA